TTGCATGTCGGAGGCCAGCCTAGACCTGGGGAGGAGCCGAAGCGGCAGAGCGGTGGGTCTGAGAGGGAGGATACTCGCACCGCGGTGGCTGAGCCCACAGACGTGGCGACTGAGCTCTGCTCCGTCCAGTTTTGGAACTGGATTATTGGGCTTTGCCCGGTTGATTCTGGGACTGATTTAGCCTTTGCAATGATATTATCTATCTATCTATCTATCTATGCACACACACACACACACACACACACACATATATATACATATATAGACATACATAAAAATATCCCTCCAGGCCCAGCCACCCACCTCCACACCCCTTGGCACAGCCACTTGGGCCCTCACTGACTACTGTTGCGCCGCACTGAGCCCCTTCCCTTCCCCTTGCCTGTTACACAGCCCTTGCTTTCACCCGGGTCCTCCCCGCCTCTTGCCGCGGTGCAGGCAGCTCTGCGCTCCCGCTCCCCGAGGTTCCTGCCCGGCCCAGTCTGCCCGACCCGCCGCAGCTGCCCCCCGGCAACCCGCGGGGTGGTTTAAGGAGCGCTGGCGGGGGAAGGGGGTCTCAGCCTGGTCCATGCCCGGACTTTGGCAGAGGGCTGCAAAGACAGCCGGGCGCCCCCTCCCCGACATGAGCAGCACGGGCCTCATTTCCAATAGATCCCCTTTTATTTCGCTTTTGCTTTGCTCTTGTCCTCACGGCGTTTTTTCCCGGAGACACCTTGAGAAATAGGATCGTCGTTATTATTATTATTATTTTTTAAGTAAAACACGATCTTTCCCTTTCCAAAAAGGGGAATGTTTTCGTGAACAAATCTATTCTATTCCTCACCCTGCAATTACCTTGTGTGGTCGCAATGCCCTGAATTTAATCCGGGGAAATCGCTTTGTGAGAACAAAGCTGCGTGTCGTAAGGTTATTGTATATAGATATAGATATTTGTGTGTGTGTGTGTGTGTATCTATCTATCTATCTATAATAAGCTGCCTGCATTTAATGGATGGTCCATACTGCAGGGGGATCGTTTTCTTTTCCGGGTGTTCTGGTTTCAGAGGTGCCATTGGCATAATCCTGAAAGGGGCCTTGAAACGCTTTTCGTATCCTGTGATCTAAATTTTTATTTTCAACGAAATCGTATTTTCCTATTTAACCTAAACGATCTTTAGGATATGTGTACTATGCTCCGGAGGAGGTTGCTTTTATCTATCTATCTATCTATCTATCTATCTATCATTGCATTCATATATATTAAATACACACACACACACACACACACACTAAATACCGGTGTGTAAATGGGGAGCAGAACCGATCCTATATTCCCTAATTTTATCATCATTATTATTAGCAAAACTGCATTTTAACGCGTGCCAGGGCGGGCATAGTGTACAGCCGAAAGATTTTGATTGAAACAGGGGGGATATCACCTACCGCAAAGAAGAACCCAAGTGACAAGAAAGTTTGTGGCGGATTTCTGCGGTGGGAAGGGAAGCATGGATTTGAAAACGGGAAGAATAAAATTTGAACTTGTTGAAACAATATTACGCGCTGATTTATCCCGGGGTTGTCCTGAAGCTCTGAAGTTTTCACAACCGACCCTCCGTCTGCACAGCGTATTTAATATCTCTAGATGCACACGCAAATAAAACCCATGCCTTATACATTCTAGCGAATCCTTGAATCTTTCTGTTTCCATTTTTTTAATTATTTTTTTTTTATTTTGGCGAGTCAGAAATAAAACACCAACTGCTCAATTAGATTGAACAACAGGGGTACTTAAAAAGCCAATTGTGGCAGTGTTTAAATCTTTATTTACCAGAACCTTGTAAAGGCAGGAACAATTTGCATTCTATTAACTGCTTTTCAATAGGGCATCGACTGGAACTAAAGGATGCCACTATCCTGCCCTAATTAAAGAGCAACTGAATTACACTAAATACATATGAATACTGCTATACGCCCATAAATAACCCCCGACACCTCGCTATATGCGCGGAGGGCTTCATCAGATGGGAGATCTCCCAGGCTCTGTTAAGATCTGCTCAGACGCGCTGACACTAGATGGCTCACGGGTCATATGCAATTAAAAAAAGAGCCCAATCCAGCTCTCTGCACCCACAATACATATATGCTATAATATATATGTACTATATGTTATGTTGGAATCATTATAACGTTATAATACAATAATTATACTATATTATAATTATCATGGGTATACATAATTTAATGTATACGTTATATAGGCAACCGTGGATCCACTGGATCCGGGTGTACCGTGCGGGTTCATGGCCATGCTGGCTCTCAGGCAGCCCTGCCTCCTTCCAGGCCGGCTGGAAGGGAGACGGAGCCCCCAGGAGATCAGGGAGTGGCGGGAAGGGGACGCACACAGGTGTGTGTAGCCCCCACCCCCAGGATCCCACGGATACAAGCAGCGTCTCTCGGCCCCTGGTACAAAGGTGCTCCGGGAGTGCGGGCGGGGGGCGCACGGGAGGCCCGCGGGGAAGAAACCACGGTGCGTTTCCAACTGCGGAAAATCGACGCGGGTCAATATTTATTCCGTGCATCGCGCCTTGGCTGCCATGCCATTGCGAGCCCCCCCAGCCCGGTAGGAAGGCGACGTGTCCCCGTCTCTTGCGCCCACACGCCCGCAGACACACGCATGTCGAGACGCGGGTACGTGTACGCGGACGTAGTGCGGGGGGAAAGGCTCCACACCGTGTCATCTAGAAAGCCACGCACATATTCAAAGGACGCTGGGTGCAATATAAAACACATCCACGCAAAACCCTGTCTTCATGTATGAGAGGAGGCTGAAGGGAGGCATTTTTGCCCCCAGCTAAGCGCGTTTAAAATGCCAGGATTCACCCCAGACTGTGGACTGACCGTGCTAGCTGGTGGGTGGGAATGAAATGGGCAGGCATCCTTAGCCTTGCAGCCCGCAGGCAGCCAGGCCCCCCCCACCCCACAGGCTTCAAAGTTCACAGGTCGGGCTCTGGGATCTCCTGGAGCTGTGCTAAGTGTGCCCTAGAGAGTCCCAGCCAGAGCGACCCCCCCAGCCCTCCAGCGAGCCCCCCATGCCGTACGGGCACCATATCTCCGTGCCTGCCCCTCCACCGAGTACGCGGTCAAGGCTCCAGCACCCCAGGGGCAGCGGCTGTCTGGACACCCTGCATTTTCAGAGCCTAATTCCCCTGCTTAAAAAGCACCGCTTTGTTTGGAAAAGGGAAAAGTCGAACGGCGAGGGGAACCAGTCATCCCAAATGCAACTCATTGCCCGGGCTATAGCTAATGGATTGGCTGTGCCATTTGTAAAATGAAGGAGCTAAAACATCGATCCATCGGGAAGGGGGAGGGGAAGGGACTGGAGCAGCTGACTTTTGATCCATTCAGCAACATGAAGAAGCAGGCCTAGGGGTTTGCCATGGCCATGGATATAATAAGCTGTCGTGCGGGCGGAGAGCCCAGTCCAGGATTTGGGTCTCACAGTGGGCTGAAAGGCCGAGGGAAAGGGAGAGGAAGAGAGCAGCTGGGGGGAGATGTGGATGGATAGATAGACTGATGGGATAAATATGGCCTTATTGACGGCAGGCAGACAGGTGTGTAGGTAGGTAGGTAGGTGGGTGGACGGAGGGATTGGATAGGAGGATGGATGGAAGAAGGACGGATGGATGGATGTCTAAAACCGACACAAGTCACCAGCAGCATTTGCACTCCTGGTCCCTTTGACCTCTGATCTCTGGCGCTGCAGGCTGGCAGCAGGAGGCCGTTTGGAGGAGGGGGCTGGGTGGCGGGGACAGGGCGAGGTTTGAGCTAAATCGCATTTCCTCCTCCGCCCGTTGTTTAAAGACTTGAAACACTCGGTCACACGGGGAGAGACGGAGAGAAAAATAATAGCGCCAGGAATTGCTATCCAATACAGAGCGGCTGGAGGAGAGCACAACCCTGCGTGTGTGTGTGTGTGTGTGTGTATGCATGTGTGCGCGCGTATGTGTATGTGTGTGTGCTCCCTTCCTCGGAGGAGCAGGGTGTTAGAGAGACCTGGGTTTTAAATCTGTGTTCCACTAACGACGCGTGTGCACCGGCTCGGGCTGACCGCGCACACAACCCCGCGTACCCCGGCAGTGTGCTGAGGCTAACAATGAACACACAGACATTTTCCCCCCTCCCTCCCCCCG